AGGCCTAGAACTGGGCACCAGCACCAACGCAGGGGGCGTCGGTGTTGCTCTCAGCGCCCCGCCCTCTGTCCACGCAGCTCGACACGAGTCCACCCCCCCCTGCCAGGGCGTCGTGGGCCGCCCGGACGCCTCCGTGGGGGCCTCGGCTGTTCGTGCCTCCGTCAGCCCAAGACGGCCCAGGAAGCCTCCAAGATGGCCCCGGGACGGCCCAAGAATGCCCCGGGGGGCGCCTCAATTGGAGGCCTGAAAATGGGCACCAACACCAACACAGGTGGTTGCCTCCACATGGGGAAGGTGATCCTAGATGTCGGTGTTGGCGGCAATAGTTCGGTCACCTTGGGAGCCAGAATATGACCACCATCACCGAGATCGGGATCTCCTTCTCTCGGTGGAGGCACACCACCGATATTGGTGTTGGTGTCAACCTCTACGCCTGCGACACCCGTGCGGACAGGTGTCCGGGCCTCGTGGGGCCAGGAGGCCTCCGCCTGGAGGTGCTGCAGCGTGTGCCGAGACGTGCACGCGCGAGACAGGCTAAAAAGTCACATGTGGGCCACTGGCCATCGCTCGGACGTCCATTCCCTGTGCTTTTTTCGGTTTCGTGCGTGGTTTTTTGGCCAAATGATCAAGGATGCTCCTCAATGGTCCTCGCCGAAGGAACAATGCACACGTCCGAGCGATGTCAAGGCCAAGGCAGCGCTGCTTTTTGTAGCTCTGGGCTTCGGCACTTGGCAGAGGGGTGGGGGAGAGAGGGGGGGGGGCTGGGGCTGGGCCGGTGCGCAGCCGATCTGCCTCTGCCAGTCGCGCGAGCAGGCTGGGAGGGGGGGAGGGGCCGTCCTGACCGGTCGCCAGAAGCAGCCGCCAAAAGCGGCCAACATCTGTAAAGGGGCCCCAGGACACACAAATAAATACACACAAATAAAATGATTCCCCATATTTTCCTATATTTTTAGGGTTTTCGTCTTCCCCCCCACTTCCCATATGTTCCCATATTTTCTGGGGAGTCGAGGATGAATTGTGTCTGTGTGTTTCTTTCCCTCCTGAAAGCAGACTGGGAGGGGGAGGGGCCGTCCTGACCAGTCGCCAGAAGCAGCCGCCAGAAGCGGCCAGCATCTGGTCCATATGGGGGGGGGCGGGGGGGGGGGGGCAGGGGCCCGCGCCGATCGGCCGAACGACGATGCATCAAGAAACAACCGCAATGGAGGAGGGCGAGGAGGAATCCCTGTCGCCGACGAAGGCGGATCAGGGAGGTGGTAACCCTGGGCAATGCGGGATGACGATAATTTTAAAAAAAATGGAGAGAACGATTAAAAGAATAGTGGTCTGCTATTTCTGCACAAGTTTCTGACTGGAGGAGAACGATGTAAAAAAATAGTTCTCCAGCCCGCGGCCGGTTTTTTCTGATCGTCATCCCGGGCGCCGCCGCGTGAACACGACCCCCGGTCATTTATTAATCGTCATCCTCCATTAAGAGGGGCCTCTGGTGCGCGGCTTCCTGGGGGACCGCGGGCGGACCGAGAACTCAGTCGCGCAGGACGCCACGATCGCAGCGCGGTCGAGGACCGGGGCGCCCCACGTGGGGAGACCACGGGGTACCGATGCCGCTGCTCCCCGGACCTCTCCCCGGGCGCGTTCTGCCCAGGATTTCGAAGCGAATCCAGCCCATGGCGACGAGGAATGCCCAGGAGGCCCAAAAAGGGTAGAACGAGGGAAGGGCAGAGGTACGGGCACCTTTTCCTCATCTGACCACAATGAGCCCGCACCGACAGGTCATTCTGGCGAAGGGTCACTCTTACGTTTAAGTCGGGCGTGTCCCCCTACAGGGGGATTTTCGACGAAACATGAAAAGTACTCAAAAAATACCCCCCCAATGGGCAGAAATAGTCAAAAAATAGTCCCCTGACTATTTTTGTGTACTATTCTTGAGATTCCTCCTGTAGAGGGACAGGCCCGACTCAATCTTCCGTGCAGGCGAGAATCCCAGAGCGCCAGCCTGGGCTGCCGGAGCAGGCCAGCCCTGCCCGGCGCGAGCGCGGCTCGGCGGCCGCGCGGCGGCGGCCAGGGGAAGCTGCTATTGAAGGGGCCCCAGGACACACAAATGAATACACACAAATCAACATATCCCCCATATGTTCCCATGCTTTCGGGGCTTTCGTCTTCCCCCCCACTTCCCACATTTGCCCATATCTTCGGGGGGATCGCCGATGAATTGCGTCTGTGTGTTTTCTTCCCTCCTGAGCTGTGCGCGGCGCGGGGCGGCGGCGGCGGGCGCTCCCCGCGGCGCGCGCTGCCCTGCGAGCGGGCGGCGTGTCGCTCCGCTCCGCGGGGGGGGGGAGGCTCGAAGGAGTTTCGAGCGCGCAGACCTCCTCCTCCTCCTCCTCCTCCTCCTCCTCCTCCTCCCCCTCCTCCTCCTCCTCCTCCTCCTCCTCCTCCTCCTGCTGGTGGCAAGTTGCGGTCAGAAAGGGAACGAAGAAGGACATTAACATAAAAAACTCGGAGGTCCGCGCGGACCTCCGAGTTGTTGTGTCTGTGTCGTTCTTCGTTCCCCTAGGTCAGGAAAGCTGTTGCGTGGCGTGTCGCGGCGGCGACCTGCGAGCGGATGGCGTGTGGCTCCGCTCCTTTCCGCCGGGGCCTGCCTGGGCTGCCCGTACATCTGGATATCGGAACCCTGCCGCGACCGCGAGCAGCTGGGTTGAGCCGCGGCGCGTCGGTACCTCTCTCGCTCTCCCCCCCTCTTCGGTGGCAACTCATAGGAGCCTCCCATACCATGTGAGCGTTTTCTTGTTCAGCGTTTCGACATTGTGCGGAGTGGAGGGAGGGGGTCTGGCTCGGGACCTCTGCTTAGTGCGACTGTTTGCAGCAGTGCGTATTATTGGGGAGGGTCCCCACCTGCTCGAAACAGGCGCGGACGCGGATGCTCGGGGACTGGGGCGTGGTGAGCGTGTCGCGACGAGGCGCGGTGGGCCAGAAACTGCACGCTGAGCCGCGACCCGCCAAGCAGACACGCCAAGAACCGGCGACGCGGCACGCTGAGCCGAAGCTCGTGGCCGTACGGGCGTGTGCCTACGCGGACAACTAAAGGCTCGACGTCAGCGTCGAAGCTGCGGGGTCCACACCAGGATCGCCCTTCGACGGGCCGAGTCGCAAACAGAAAGGCGCATCGGCAGAATAGTCATCCGAACCATCGCGCTGGGGTGAGGAGTGAGGAGGAGTGAGGAGTGAGGAGGAGTGAGGAGGAGAGGGAGGAGTGAGGAGGATGGAGGAGTGAGGACGAGAGGGAAGGGGGAAGAGGGGTAAAGATGAGGATGAGGAGGACGACAAAGGCGACGAATACAAGCAGGAAAAGGAGGAGAAGGAGAAGGATAAGAATGGCTGGCGACGCACCCCACACGGTACCGATGGGCCATAGGGCCACCTCGGCTTGATCCCCTCGGGCCTCATGCCCTCATCGGACCCATCACCCGGGACGGACGCAAGGGGGTGTAGGACGAGGGGGGGGGGGGCGAACCAGCTGCATCCACTTGCTTTTCCTGGTGCCTCCTGGCGCCAAGGGAGGCCGCGTGTCGGGGAAAACGCCACGTATCGGGCAGGCCACCCCCCCGCTCCCAAACCCCCCCCCACTTCGTTCGCCCCAGCTCTCCCGATGCCCTTCTGCAGTCTCCCCCGAGGGAGCAGAGACTCCCCCCTTGAGCTCCCCTGGAGAGCTCTCTGAGCGGCGGGCCGAGGGGGGATGTGGATGGATGAGTGAGGCAGTCTACGCAACAAGCGGTCATACCTGGCGTTCTGAGCTCTCTGAGCCTATCCGGTGTGTTTCGTAAGCTTCAAGCACGCCCAAAAGGGGGTCCAGCTGAAAGGGGGTGGTGCAATAGATGTGAGGCAAGTGTATTGCAAATGTATTGCGCTGTGTATTGCAAGTAATGCATTGCACTCGAAAATCCAGCAAAACATTTGCGGCCTGGAATGTTTTTGCACGCCCCATATGTATTGCAACACCACAAATATATTGCACCAAATCCATTGCACCACCCCCTTGTCGCTGGACCCCCTTTTGGGTCAACACGAAAGCTCTCTGAGCCTCTCCAGTGCACCATGCATGCTCGAAAGTGTGGCCCGAGCCCATATGGAACTGTCCGAATCTCTGAGAGGCTCCTCGAAGTTCCAGGAAACCTCCTTCAGGTCCCCTCCTGCCCCATGTGTTCTGACCAGCTCCGCGAAATAGTAGAGGAACCACAAAAAAATGCATGGACATAAGCTTTCGAGTCTGCACGCATTTCTTGGATTGGCCCTGCAGCTCCCTGGCGCACCAGGGAAGGAACCACAGCGCCGATCCAAGAAATCCACGTGGACCTCCGAAAGATCATGCTTATGGCACGTTCTCTTCTTCGATCCTGGTCCTGGGTCCCCTCTTACCCCTTCTGCTCTGGCCAGCTCCTCGAAGTGAGAGGACGCCCCCCCAGATGCACCCCGCCCAGGGCACCACGCCCCACAAGTTCCGCCTCCTGCTGCCCTCGTGCCGCAGCAGCAGCTTCGGCAAAGACATCACCGCCGCTGCCCTTGCTGCCAACCCCGCCACCGCTACCACTGCCACCACCCTCACCGCCGACGCGGAGACCACCACCGCCACCGCCGCGACCACGGGACGGAGCGACCTGGGATGTGGCCTGCTGCTGCTGCTGCTGCTGCTGCTGCTGCTGCTGCTGCTGCTGCTGCTGCTGCTGCTGCTGCTGCTGCTGCTGCTGCTGCTGCTGCTGCTGCTGCTGCTGCTGCTGCTGCTGCTGCTGCTGCTGCTGCTGCTGCTGCTGCTGCCCGAGCCCTCCCGAGGGGACGCGGCCGGCCCCCCGCACCCACCCCGAAAGACAGGCAGGGCGCCCCGGGGATGCGGCGCCTCCCGCCTGGAGTTCGCGCGGAGGCGCGCCCCCGCAAGTCACGCAGAGGACCGCCTGTGCACCACCACCAGCAGCGCTCGCCACGGCCGCGGGGCGGGGGGCGGAGGGAGGCGCCTCCGTCTGGCGGAGCTGCACGCCCATCAGGGTGATGTAGTGTATCCGCGGGCCCCCGCTGTGGGGGGGCCCTCGGCCAGCGTGCAGCACCACAGCGACCCAGACTCCGCTGCAGGGCTCTCTACCCCCCCCCCCCCGGCCCCGCCCCCTCCCTCCCCGCTCGTGCTCCTGGGCGCCGTCTGGACGCATCCTGGCGCCGGGCGCCTCCTCCCCAATCCCTGTCCTCCGCACTCTCCTCCCCGCTCGCCCGTTCGCTCAGGACAACTTGGACCATCCCCACCCTGGCCAGGAAAACCTGGGCCCCGCCGGCCACCCTGCCCCTCCCAGGTGGGGGTGGGCGGCGCTTCCTGCAGGCTTCTCGCAGCAATCATGCCCACCACTAGAGTAACAAAGACGGCATACACAGAAGCGGTCGGAGGTCCGCGCGGACTTCTCGGATCGGCTCTGGACCTCCCTGACAGCGTCAAGAAAGAGGGTCCTTCGCAGATCCAGGAACTCCGCGCAGACCTCCGGAAAGTGTATTTTATGTTGTGTTCCTTCTTCGAGCCAGGGGGGCAGGGCGAGCACGCTGGGCACGCGAGTCCACCCCGCCCCGGGGGGGGAAGGGGCGGGGGCGCCTGACGATGAGGGCGCGCATCTCCACACACCCACGACCCCTGAGCTGCACATCGGGCTAAGACGAAGCCAGGACGAGGATAGATTCGGGTGAGGACAAATCGACAATCTCTGAGATCCGGCGGATCTGGAAGATGCCTCGGGCGCCGCGGCCTCCCCAGAGCGTTCGGGCACATTCTGGCAGCGCTCCGGAACGCTCTGGAACGGATTGTGTCCTCGTCCTAGCCCCGTCCGACGGGCGCCGGAAAAGGCGGCCGCCCTCCAGATCAGGCTCATCGCCATCACCCGCGACTCGGCGTACCAGGCCACGCGGCACTCTGCGGGCTGGAAGGCCTGGGGGGGCGGCTGCGGCGAGGGAAGGCCCCTCCAGCGGCCGCCGGTGCCAAGCAGGCCAGGGCCCTGCTGCCACCGAGCCCAGGAGGGGGAGGAGGAGGAGGAGGGGGAGGAGGAGGAGGAGGAGGAGGAGGAGGAGGAGGAGGAGGAGGAGGAGGAGAGGAGGAGGAGGAGGAGGAGGAGGAGCAGGAGGAGGAGGAGGAGGCGGAGGAGGAGGAGGGGGGGAGGAGAGAGGATGAGCAGGAAGAGGAGGAAAAGCGAGGAGGAGAAAAAGTAGAACCGTGAGAGAGGCACGGACTCGCAGACAGGCTGGCCTGGCCTCCACAATGCAAGCAGACGAGGACGGACATGGCGGGCGCTCCAAAATCGACGCACCAATTGCTCGATCGGTTGATCGCGTCAGCTGTGTGTTGGTGCGGGGGCGTCACGCTGACGCACGCCCCGTGGTCTTCACGCGCGCAGATGGACGCTGTTACGTGAGACGTACAGCACGCGGCAAGAGTCTCACCGCGGCTGCAGTAAGTGATCGCAACCCTCGCTTGCGTTTGCAGCTTGCTCGCGCTTTGGAACGACCAGAGTGCCTGCACGTAACGAAGATGAACAATGCCCAAGAAGTCACAGGACGCACGAGGCGCAGAAGTGAGCATCAGAACGCACATGCCACACGCCGTGATCAAGGCGAGTCAGGCGTGCCAGAGGTGTGGCTTGCCGCTCGAGGGCTCCAAAAACGACCTGCACGCTCGAAGACCAGATGGCACGCGGCAGCGCGATGATCCCGCATCCCCCGACGGCAGAATAAATCGCCCTCCACCGAGAGAGCAGCCGGAGCGCCGATCAAGGAGCGCCCCCCCATGTCCGCGCCTGTCTGCTGGCACTGCGAAGACTGGGCGCGTTTCATCCCTCGCTCTCCCCAATTTGCGACATTGTCGGCCCCGCCCTCCACGCAGTGTGCAAAGCTGACGCCGTGGATCGGGTACGAGGAGTTGGGCGTGGAGTCTCAATGGGGGGGCGCGGAAGGATCGAAAAGGCAAAGGCAAGAGGCAGCTGAAGCTGGAGGCCAAGACCGACGAGGGCACCCGGAGCGAGAGCAGGGACGGGTGACGAAAGGGGGAGAGCAGGAAGGACGAAGGAGAGGCGGGAAGGGGGGGCAGGCTGCGGTAGGGAGAAGGAGAGGAACGACGCGGGGGCGAAGGGATGAGGGAGTATGGAAAAGGAAAGACAAGGAGCAAGTCGAGGCTACAGAGCAGGAAGGATGAAGGAGAGGCGGGAAGGGGGGGCAGGCTGCAGTGGGGAGGAGGGGAGGAACGACGCAGGGGCGAAGGGATAAGGGAGTATGGAAAAGGAAAGACGAGGAGCAAGTGGAGAAGGAAGAGGGGAGGCTGTTACCCTTGCTTGCGCCCCAGCGGATCCCCCTCTCAAGTCTCCCCCCCTCTTCCGCCTCCCTTCCCCCGTCCCCTTCCTCATCCCGGTCCCCCCCGCTTCCCCCTCCTCCCCCCTCCTCCTCCTCCTCCTCCTCCTCCTCCTCATCATCATCCTCATCCTCATCCTCATCCTCATCCTCATCCTCATCCTCATCCTCATCCTCCTCCTCCTCATCATCATCATCATCATCATCATCATCATCATCATCATCAGCATCATCAGCATCATCATCATCATCATCATCATCATCATCATCCATCATCATCATCATCATCATCATCCTCATCCTCATCATCATCCATCATCCTCATCCTCATCCTCATCCTCATCCTCATCCTCATCCTCATCCTCATCCTCATCATCATCCATCATCCTCATCCTCATCCTCATCCTCATCCTCATCCTCATCCTAATCCTCATCATCATCATCATCATCATCATCATCATCATCATCATCATCATCATCATCATCATCATCATCATCATCATCATCCATCATCATCCTCATCATCATCATCATCATCATCATCATCATCATCATCATCATCATCATCATCATCATCATCATCATCATCATCCCCCTCTTCTCGATGTATCACCATTCGAGGCTCTGGCAGAGGGCCTCCAGCGCCGAGGAGCACTTCATCAGCATCGACAGCAGCGGGTGCGGCTTCGTCCGCAGCTGGCGGGCGGGGGTCTCTTGATGCCGACAGAGCAGAGTTCGAGGCAGCCCCGCGCCGCCCCTCTCCCGCCCCGCCCCCCGCACCCGCTCCAACGACCGCCGCCCCATCCGATCCCCGACTTTCCGCACGCCTTTCGCCGCCCGTTCGCCCCGACTTCTGCGACCTGTTCGGGTGTTCGGGTGGTGATCCGCCACCGTGCTCCCATGGCACGCTGGGGCGCGGCAGAATGCCAAGTGCTGTCTGGCAGGGCGTCGGTGTTGCTCTCAGCGCCCCGCCCTCTGTCCACGCAGCTCTGCTCGCGTCCCCCCCCCCCCCCCCCCTGGCAGGGCGTCGTGGGCCGCCCGGACGCCTCCGTGGGCGTGGGGGCCTCGGCTGTTCGGGCTTTCGTCAGCCCAAGACGGCCCAGGAAGCATCCAAGATGGCCCCGGGACGGCCCAAGAGTGCCCCGGGGGGGGGGGCCTCAATTGAAGGCCTGGAAATGGGCACCAACACCAACACAGGGGGGTGCCTCCACAGGGGGAAGATGATCCTTGATTTCGGTGTTGGTGGTAACAGTTTGGCCACCTTGGAAGCCAGAATATCACCACCATCACCGAGATCGGGATCGTCTTCCCTCGGTGGAGGCACACCGCCGAAATTGGTGTTGGCGTCAACCTCCAGGCCTGCGACTCAAGGCAGGCCATGAGGACCCCAAGATGGGCCAGCAGGCCTGCAAACCGACTGCATACAACTACGCTGCATAAGTAACCTGGTAGGTTGCTGAATGCTCAGATATCGTAACACGACAGCATATGACTGCCCAATGTTCTATGCAATACATGTCCGAACTGCGTAACATCGCAAGAGTCCGACGATATCGAAGGTTGGGGTGACACGGAATACAGTCGGGGCCCTGAAGAAGGAACCCTTTTCGTTGGGGAGGGGCTCCGTGCTCCTTAATTGTTTCGCAGCTTGCCCTGGATTTTCCTTAGGTTTTCGATACGAAATCGAAGTTCAACTTATAGAAATAGTGGCCTTGTTCCTTATTTAGGGTTCCTTAGGTCAACGCCTCGACTGTACCCAACTCCGGGAAGTCGATGTCCGTCCCGGTCCGTGTCACCGTGCGGGCGAGGCAAAGATGCACGATGAGCGACGACAGGCGGGCTGCAGCTAGCAAAGTCGGGCAACACGAGCCCGCTCGCGCGTCTCGAATCCACTCACGTGTCTCGTGGGGCCCTCGAAATGGTGTCCCGTGGTTGTCCGGTCGGTTGCCCCGTCGTTGTCACATGGATTTGTCGCATGGGTTGTGCCGCGGATGTCCCGTGGTTCTGGTCGGCTGTCCCGTGGTTGTCCCGTGCGGTGTCCTGCGGGTGGCACCGCGATTGTCACATGGATTTGTCACATTGTTTGTACAGCGGTTTTCCCGTGATTGTCTGGTCGGTTGTCCCGTGGTTGTCCCGTGGATTGTCCGGGGGGATGTACCGCGGTTGTCCCGTGGCTGTCCCGTAGGTCCCGTGGCTGTCCCGAGGTTGTCCTGCGGGTTGTCCCTTGGATGTGTCCAAGGGGTTGTACCGTGGTTGTCCCGCGGTTGTCCGGTGGGTTGTTCCCTTGGTGGTTCTGTGGCCCCCCCGTGGGATAGACAGTGAGATTGGTAGATTGACTCGCGGGTCGAAGCGCCAATCGAATTGCAAAGCGAATTGTAGATGTATTGGTGGTGAAACGCGGCTATACCGACGCATACGTCTGAGCATCAGCACATAGATATACACATGTGTAGTTATACATACATCTACGCATATAGATTCCCCAGACGCTGCTTACGCTTAGGGGTTAGAAAGAAAACTGGGCCTGTGCGTCGGTCAGGCGGCTATGGTGTCGCCGTCGTCGCACCGTCGTCGCCGCCCATCGTCTGGGCCTGTGTTTCGGTCTGGCGGCTATGCTGTCGCCGTCGCCGCCCCGCCGCCACCCCGTCGCCGCCCATCGTCTGAGCCTGTGCGTCGGTCTGGAGGCTATGTTGTCGCCGTCGCCGCACCGTCGTCGCCTCGTCGCCGCCCATCATCTGGGCCTGTGCGTCGGTCTGGCGGCTATGTTGTCGCCGTCGCCGCCCCGTCGCCGCTCGTTGCCGCCGTTAGAGATTCTTCTCTAAAAGATCTACCTCCAACCCCCCCGCCCCCCTGGACTGAACGGCACGCCTTTTCGCACCGCTATTTACACATGAATTTGCTCCATCGCCCATCGTCACACGCGCATGCCGAGCTCGTTCGAGAACCTCGGGTTTCGTCAGGATGTCTGAATCGAGTATCGCGAACACATGCCTTGTAAACCAACAAAACCATGGCTTCGCGACAATATGTTGCTGGCGTTCCTGCGACTTCTGAGAGAAAACCATCGGTTTTTAACCTGCTCGTTCGACTCAGATAAACGGGCGGGCCCCTTGCACGCGCATGTTCACATCATTCGGACGCCCTTGCGCGCGCACTGCCGCAAGAACCCTGTGCAAAAGCATGGACGAACCGTACGCACGCGCGTCGTCGCGTGCGCATGCCGGAAACACGTTTGGACAAACAATTGGATTTGAAACATCCGTTTTTCAAAAGCAGGTCTGCGCGTTCGTGCGAACTCCGAGAGAAAATGTATTCGAACATGTTCATCAAATTCGGCCAAACAGGCCTTTCGCGCCGCATGTCGAAATCATTCGAACGCCCTTGCGCCCATGCCAGTCGGGGGGGGCATGACCCCGGCCAAATAATACCACGCGGGCCACTCGCTCGCGTCGGCCGCGCGCGCATGTCGAACTCCGTCGGAAACCTCAATCACCGACGCGGGGGCCCGATCATCGTCATCGGCGCGATCAGCATCGGCGCCATCATTGGCCTTGCCGCCGTCATCGCCACCATCGCCACCACCATCGCTACGATCATCATCGTGTCTGCTGTTGCCGACGTCGCCATGATACCGCGCCCGCACACATCACCGACTCGCACTGAAATGCCCGCTGCGAAGTGCCCAACAGTCAGCGCAACCGCGGCCGCGTCGGCCGCGCCAAACTAGCTGGCCGCTGTGCGCGCGAGCATGCGCGAGCGAGGCCGGCCGTAGAGATGCACTAGCCAACACCAAGCATCGCAATCGCCGCCGCATGGGTTTTGCAAATCGACTTGCGGGTGGGTGGGTGGGGCGATTGCGCGAGCAGTGGGGCTGACAACTCCAACGTTTGTTCCAAATTCCTTGCACCGCATATACTGTACCACATAGGTTGCACAACACCTGCTGCACAGCATAGGTTTCATCAAATATATTGTTTACATAAGTTGTACCACACATACAGCACCACATATATTGCACCACGTAGGTTGCACGACATAGTTTGCACCACATAGATGGCACAACTTAGGTTGCGCCACACAGATTGTGTCATAGATATACAGCTTCCCGTATAGAATTTGCACAACATAGATCGCACACAACGTATTGCACCACATCGGTTGCACTATATAAACTGCACACAACAGAATGCACAACATGTATATATGTATATATATGCTGCGCCGCAGCTATTGCACAGCATGAACTGCACACGACCGACTGCACAACCTAGGTTGCCCAACACCTACTGCACACAACAAATTGCACCGCATATATTGCATACCATAGGTTTCACAAAATGGATTGCACAACATAGATTGCACTACGCTGAATGCTAGAAACACGCCGTGTGAGGCCCACGCTGGCTAACATTACCTACATATAGATATAGATGTACAAAGATGCACACGAGAATGGAGGGCCGAACGGCCTTACACCATCCCTCGGTGCGTGCCTGAAGTGGGCGCCCGCGGTGAATATGATTGTTGTCGTGTTGTTGTGTTGTCGTCGTCATCGTCAACGACTCGCCTGCGAGCCGCCCACGACCCACCCGTGACCCACCTGCGACCCACCCACAACCCGCCCGCGACCCGCCCGCGACCCATACGCGACCCACCCGCGACCCATCCGCGACGCAACCACATGTCTTTGACGGAAAAGCGGCGCCTGCGGCAGGTTCGTCGTGTAAAGTGTAAAAGAAATCTGCGCCTGCAGCGGGCTTCTTCAAATTTACGTTCGAACCTCGCCCCTGCGGACGCCCCCCCGTCCCTCTCACTCGCATCCGCGACGAGTGCGACGACCACGGTACCGCTTGAAATACATACATCGTTCTGGATATTACGAACTGGGAGCTGCAGGTAGTATGCAACCGATAACAGATAGGTAGTGACCAGTAAACACACTTATCGCAAAATAGTATGACTAGAACTGATGAATAAAAACAATGAAATAAAAAAGCATGCGTCTATCATAAAATGAACGCGTAAAAGTGAAACGGAAGTCTAGATTGCTCTACCATCGTGCTGTAGGCACTGAGTGGGATATCATCGAGTCCCGTCGAATTCTCTGCGCTGGGAATTGCAAGCACCGTCACGGACGATACTGGGCGCTCTTGAGAGCTCTTGGGGCCTGTCGCGTGACTTCTCCCGAAGATACAAGTTTGGGGAAACATATGTGTTGATGTGATCTGCCCACGCACGAACTGGCCCCGGGAGCACTCTAGTGCCAGGATGGCTGCCGAGACCACCAAGAGGCCCCCGCATGAGCCCTGGAGGCCCCAGGAGGCCCACAAGAGGCTTACAAGAGGCCCCAAAAGAAGTCCCTAAGGGGCACCAAGAGGCCCCAAGAAGCCTACAAGAGGCCCCCAACATGCATCCCAAGAGACCCTAAGTTGCCAAGAGGCATCAAAGAGGGCTCCGCCCACAATCCAGGCACTGTGGCGGAGGTAACGACGGCCAATAGATAGTACACAAAGGTGCGCATGATTATATACAGATTAGCCTCTCGCCAGATAGCTACATTCTGATATAGAGAGGCGGACCGACCATCCGACGCGAAGACACCGAACAACGAAAGCTGCACCTAGCCCTTCCATCCCCCACCCCACCCTAACCTCCTACACAGCGAAATCTCGGCCCGACGATGTTTCAAATGACAACAAAAATGCAGAATTTCGGACATCTGATAGTATATGTATGTGTATACGTGAGTGCGCACACAACAGTATCAAGCTCTATAACTCAAAGGCTGAGTATCGAACTGTCGATCAGCGTGCCTACTCCTATCGCAACGCACCGAATCATATCAACATCTAACGGCGGGACACCCGCGAGACAGCCATGGGACAATCACGCGGCACCCATGGCACTATCAGAAATATAATTGTCTAGCTCATGTGCCTACCGAGCTTCAATGCACACATGTTGTATGGACACACCGCTGTGCACATATATATATATATATATATATATATATGTGTGTGTGTGTGTGTGTGTGTGCGTGTGTATGGCTGCTTTGGCCCTTGTATCCTTGTATAACTGATCGGCTGCCCACATGTGTCCTCTGTAGCTTATGCCTGAGTGATGCCCTAACTAACTAAGCAACGTGACCATGGTCATATTTACATCGGATATATAACATATCAGCCAATCGAGCCACATCAGTCGACATCTGCCAATTCGCGACACCTCTGAATACATAACTGTCTAACTCCCTTGCTATCTTGTTGACTGGTTGACAAGGCTCGCCCCCGAAATACAACAAGTTTAACGGTATCGCTCCAACTACATGTCCAACAAGTTCACCATCTGTCTTACCACTCGTCGCCCACAAAACACCAACGGGAAACCCACAAAACAAACACGGGGGAACCGCGCGGAACAGTCACGGGACAGCCATGGGACAACCGCAGGAATACCTCACGGGACAACCACGGAACAACCACAAGGCAAACGCACGGGGCAACCGCGAAGCAACTCCAGGACGCATGCGCCTGGCACACGCGAGGTTGTCTGTCATGACATGCCCCTCGCTGGGGAATGATCTCTCTCGCACTCGCGCAGCTTCGCCTCGCCCGCACGGCACGGCACCAATCAAAATCCGAAGTCGACTTCCCGATGTGAAAACACCCAGTTTCACTGCGGCCCCACCCCCATTGCACACGGTGCCGAATATCAATCGAACTGCCAATCAAGCGAGCATCCGAGAGAACGAAGGTGGCTGTCTGGCGATCCACCTGGCTCACTACATACCCATATGGCTGTACCTATTCATGTGTAGATTCCCCAAACACTGTTTGCGCTCAGGGGTCCTTAAATTGTTTTCTAACGAACTGGGCTGGTGTGTCGGTCTCGAAACTATGTTGCCGCCGTCGCCGCCCTGTCGCCGTCTTGTCGCCAGCCATGGTCTGGGCTGGTGTGTCGGTTTGGCAACTCTGTTGCCGCCGTCGCCGCCCCGTCGCCGCCTCGTCGCCAGCCATCGTCTGGGCTGGTGTGTAGTTGTGGCGGCTATGTAGCCGCCGTCGCCGCTCCGTCGCCGCCTCGTCACCGCCCTGTCGCTGGCCATCGTCTGGGCTAGTGTGTTGGTTTGCCCGCCATGTTGCCGCCGTCGCCACCCCGTCGCCGCTTCGTCCCCGCACCAGATTCTCCTTTCTAAAAAAAGAATAAACTCTGCCCCCCCCCCTCCCGGCGTTACCCGCGCCCTTTCGGGTATGTAAATCACACACGATTCTGACCACATGCCCATCCTAAATATGAATCTACACTATCCCAGGGGGGCTGGGATCGCTACCCCTGAGGTTCCCTTGTAAAAAACGATACGCGGGGACATTTGTTGTTCTAACACAAGATTGTGCACTAATCCCTTGCGAAAAATGGGACGAAGTGCGCACGCGCGCGTCGTCGCGCGCGCATGCCGAAATCCTCCAGAAACCTTCGGTGTCGGAAGCATGTCGCAATCGAGTTTCCAAAAAAACATACAAAAACACAGGGTTTCGCAACACTGATTTGCAAAAAAAAGCTTACGCGCGAGCTCTTGCGAAAACTTAAGAAAACCATAGGCTTTTCAAGATGTTCACAAAATGCTACCAAACGGGCTACGCGCGCGCATGTCGAAATCTGTCGAACGCCCTTGCGCGCGTGCCGTCGCGAGAATCCTCTGCAACAAATGGGACGAAGTGCAGACGCGCGCGTCGTCGCGCGCGTATGCCGAAATCCTTCAAAACCCTTCGGTTTCGGAAGGACTTCAAAATCGTGTCCAAAAAACGTACAAAAACACAAGGTTTCACAACACGGATTTTCAACAAAAGCGTGCGCGCGCGCTCTTGCGTCGTCGTCGTCGTTGCCGTCCGCCCGCCTCCCGCGTCGTCGTCGCCGTCGTCGCCTACGTCGTCCTCTGTCTTTCGTCGTGTTCGTCGTCGTCGTCCTCTTTGCCGTCGTGGTCGTTTCCGTCGTCGTTGTCGCAGTGGTCGTCCTTCCTCCTCTTCCCTCGTCGTCGTCGTCCGTCGTCGACGTCTCGTCGTCGTCCCTCCTATTTCGTCGCCGTCGTCGTCGTCGTCGTCGTCGTTGTCTTCGTCGTCGTCTTCCCTCCTCCCTCGTCGTTGTCGTCGTCGGCGTCGCCGTCCTTCCTCCTTCTTCGTCGTTCGCGTCGTCTTCGTCCTCCTTCCTCCCTCGTCGTTGTCGTCGTTGTCGTCGTTGTCGCCGTCGTCGTCTTCCCTCCTCCCTCGTCGTCGTCTTCGTTGGCGACGTCGTCGTCTTCGTCGTCGTCGGCGTCGGCGTCGTCGTCGTCTTCGTCGTCGTCGTCGGCGTCGTCGTCGTCGCCGCCGTCGTCGTCGTCGTCGTCGCCGGCGTCGTTGACGTCGTCGTCGTCGTCGGTGTCGTCGTTGTCGTCGTCGTCGGCGTCATCGTCGTGGTGGTTGTCATCGTCGTCGTCATCGTCGTCGGCGTCGTCGTCGTCGGTGTCGTCGTCATCGTCGTCGTTGTCGGCGTCGTCGAAGTCGTTGGAGGCGTCGTCGGCGTCGTCGTAGTCGTTGTCGGCGGCGTCGTCGTCGTCGTTGTCGCTGTCGTCGTCGGCGTCGCTGTCGTTGCCAAGTGCCATTTGGTACCCACCGACACGGTCTTAAAAGATATTGCTAACCAAGTTGCGGGTGGGTGGGTGGGATGGTTGCGCGAGCAGTGGAGTGGACAACTCACTGCGAACAGAAATTAGTTGCACAACATAGATTCCACCACAAAGCTTGCACGACAAATATTGTACGACATAGATTTCACCACGTAACTTGCACAAGATGGATTGGACCGCATATATTGCACCACGGGGGCTGCTCAGCACAAATTACACCACATAGGGTGCAGAACATAGTCCCTTTCTTACAAAGAACGAAAAACTACCACCCCACCCCCATGGGGTTATGTGCCCACCCAGGGGATGTGCAATGTACATTTGACCCTGCATCATCGTTTGTTCAATATGTGACCTCCTACCATCCAAGCCATGATTGTATCGTGCCCACCCCCCACCCCTCATCTTCGTCGAATAAAACAGTGCCCACTGACTCGTCTCTCAATAACCATCCGTGTGCATTAATATTTTGCGGGAAAAAATTGAACAGAACTCACACGCGGGCGTCGTCGCGCGTGCATGCCAGAATCATTCAAAAACCTTGGGTGTCGCCAAAAAAGTCAACACCGCGTGTCCCGCAAACATGTTATTAGATGTGTGTATATATACATATATATATATACATACATACATACATACATACATACATACATACATACATACATACATACATACATACATACATACATATATATACCAAAAAATGGAGCGCGATTTTTCCAAAGAGCGGTCTGCGCGCGCGCTCTCGCGAATCCTGGAGAAAAAATGGTTTCCTTCACTTTCATCAAATTCGAGCAAACGGGCGGGCCTCTCGCGCGAGCATGTCGAAATCATTCGTACGCCTTCGCGCGCGTGCTCCTCCTCCTCCTCCTCATCATCCCCCTCTCCCTCCCCCTTCCCCTCCGCCGTCCCCTCCTCCTCCTGCTCCTCCTCCTCCTCCTCCTCCTCCTCCTCCTCCTCCTCCTCCTCCTCCTCCTCCTCGTGCAGCTCATGCTGTCTGCTGCGGCGGTCGTCGGTGTGCGGCTGGCGTCCCTCGAGCCCCGGCGCCGCGCCCCGCCTGCCTGCAGCAATCGCGCCACCATGTGCAGCGTGAATGAGATGCCCCGGAGACACGCGTTGGCGTCGCACGCGCGCCTGCCCCGCCCCTTCTATCTCTCTCGTGGTTGCTGTTTGTGTGCGTGTCTCCCTCTCTCTCTCTCTCTCACTCTCTCACTCTCTATATATATATATATATATATGTATTATGTCTCTCTCTCTCTCTCTTTCGCATGCCCCGCCCCTTCTATCTCTCGTGTTTGCTGTTTGTGTGCGTGTCTCCATCTCTCTCTCACTCTCTCTCTCTCTCTCTCTCTCTCTCTCTCTCTCTATATATATATAGATGTGTGTGTGTTCTCTGACTCTCTCTCTATATATATATATATATATATATGTTTCTCTCTCGACGTACTGTATGTAAATGGTGTTATCTCTCTCTCTCTCTCTCTCTCTCTCTCTCCCCCCCCGTTGTTTTCTCTCTCTCTCTCTCTCTTTCGCGTTATCTGTCTCTCTCCTCCGTTATCGTTGTTTTCTCTCTCTCTCTCTCCCCTCTCTCTCTCTCTCTCTCTATCTCTCTATATATATATATACATTATATATGTATCCTCTCTATCTCTCTCTCTTTCTCTCATCGCTAGTTCCCCTCTCTCTCTCTCTCATCTTCTCTCTCTCTCTCTCTCCTTCTCTCTCTCTCTCTCTCTATCTCTCTCTCTCTCTCTCTCTCTCTCTCTCCACGACGTCGACACTACCTATCACCGCCGGGGCGCCTCCTCCTCCTCCTCCGCCTCATCCTCCTCCTCCTCCTCCTCCCCCGCCTCCTCCGCCGCCGCCGCCTCATCCTCCTGCTCCTCCTCATCATCCGCCTCCTCCTCCTCGTCCCCCTCCTCCTCCTCCTCATCATCCTCCTCCTCCTCCTGCTCCTCCTCCTCCTCCTCCTACTCCTCCTGCTGCCGTAGCCATTCTGGCTCAGGCGTCCAGCTGGTACTGGGTCCCACTCGGCGGTACTCGCGCGAGCGCCGCGGCGGCGCCTCCCCCTGCCGGCGCGCGGCTTGCACCTGGTGCGGCTGGTGCACCTTACACAAGTGTGATACAAAAAACTGTGTTGTTGTTTTACCATACTGATTGTGTTGTATCACTCAATGTATCACACTTGTTTTGTATCACACTTGTTTTTGTATCACACTTTATCACACTTGTTCGCTGCAAGCGGCTGGCACGGCGGCGGCGAGGACGCCAGCTACGGCGGAGGTGCAGGCCGCGGAGCACGCTGCCGCGCGGCCTGCGCCTGGGGCGCGGGCCCAGCAGCTGTTCGGCGCAGCGGCCGAAGTTGTGAGCATGCTGGGAGGCCACACGCTGACTGCGGGCCTGGGCAAGATCCGCGCGCGCGGGGGCGTCGGCTGCCGACGGCCCTCGAGCGGGACTGCCGCGCGCTCGTTGCAGCGAGCGCGCTCCTCCGCCATCCATGCGAGGCAGAGACCGCCGTCGCCAGGTTGTGGGACTGGCTGTCGGGCGGCGGCGCTGGGCACAAGAACAATGAGAAGGAGGAGGTCGGGGAGAGCGGCAGCGAAACCGACCGCGCGCCCGCCGCGCCCCCTGCGCTCAGAGGCCAGCCGCCGGTGGGCCCTCACGGCAGCGCGGGGAGGCGCCCTGCCTGGCCCTGGCCCCGCCCGTCCCAGCGCTGGCGCAGCCGCCGCAGGAGGAGGCGCGGAAGGAGAACCAGGAGGTGCACGACTCGGAGGAGCAGCACGCCAAGGGCAGCAGCACGGCTGAGGAGCAGCACGGCATCGAGAGCTCCGAGAGGGCCAACGGCATGGACTCCCTGGAGACCGACCTCAGGGAGGAGACCGAGCTGGAGTTATTTGATTCCGCTGACGGGTGTGACTCGGAGCTGCAGGGCACCGGGAGCAGCAACATCACGCAGCAGCACGTGCAGGTGCACCTCGAGAAGATGATCACGGAGAGCAAGATCGTCATGGAGGGCGACGACGCCATGATCGACTTCAAGACGGAGGGCATGTGCATCGAGGGCAGCACCGGGTCCAGCGGCGACACTGATGCCAAGCTCCCAGCACTATTGACGCGGAGATCGGCGATCACACGGAGCGACAGCACGAGCAGACGCGCCTCGAGGTGAAGGTCACAACGAGCAAGGTCGCCTCGGTCGACGACGCCACCGTGATTGACATACGGAGGGCACGGACGTCGAGAGCAGCCTGGGGTCCAGCGGCGACACCGAGGCCGCGTTCTCCAAGTTTTCAACAATGCCGATATGGTGGGCCCGATGGACAACAGAGTGACGGAGTGTGACGCGGAGCGCGACGGCATCAGCTTCACGGGCCAGGAGCTGGGTCATGGTCACGCCCGCCCTCTCAAACGTGCAGGAGGCGCCGACAATGTTCATGAACATCCAGCCGCTGCACGGCGTGTCATCGAGGCGCTGAGCTGGGCCGACGTCCACGACGACGGAGACCGCCTGGTCGACGGGAACGTGGGCAACGCAATGCCCGACGCCATGGACGAGATCGTTGCGAGCGCACTGCCGCACGGCAGGAGCATGGACCAGCTGAACCCCGTGGCGCTCCAGCAGCTCAGGGCCGCCTTGGCAGGGCTCCCCCATGTTGAGCAGAGCCGGCCGCGGTCAGCGTGGGCGCAGCCCAGCGGCTAGGCGCGGCGACTCCGCGCACCCGGCGCCAGCCACTTTGGAGAGGCGCCGAGTGCTCGGCCCGTGCGGGCGAGGCGCGGCTCTCCCGCGCTCGGTCCTGCTGGGCGCGGCTGGGCAATCCGTCGGCTGTCGGGTCCCTCGTGTTTTGTGGCACGTCGGTCTCGTTACTGGTTCCGTTAACAAATCCCTCCTTGGTTCCCTTAGTGCGGGGGGGGGGCGGGGGCCCTCCTGGGCCCCCTGCCCCCGCCCTGTCGCCTCGGATGGTTGGGGCCCTCGTGGGCCGCCGTCCTCCGTGTCTGGCGGCGTGCTGCTCGGTCCTGGCTTCCGCCTCGGGGGCCTGTGACTGGGCAGCGTGCCCTCTCGGGTCCGTCGGGTCCCTCGTCGCCGACGTGCCCGTGGGCAGACGCGCGGGCCAGCTGGCTCCCGCGAGCGCTCGGCGAGGCCAAGTGCAGCTTCGCGGATCGGGGACATGTCACCCTCCGCTGCGCAGCCTGCTCCCGACTCCTCCTCGGCCCCCCCCTCCTC